TTTATTCTTTTTGAATATGTCAATAGTTTACATGATATTGAAATAAACTACCAAATTAAAGTGCAGAATAGAACTAGCATAAGTGAATTTGAGCAATAAATTTAAATGGTAGCTAATAAGCAAAACCCCATTAGGCAAAATAGCCCCAAGTTCTGGAAAATTCCTTGGCTTGCTGTCAGGACCCAGAGGAGTGAGCAGTACTCACAGATGTTACCAGTGGAACGGATATTCAAGGTTATATTTTGAGAGTCAGTTAAATGGGGAGCAAATAGTGCCTCTTTTGTACAGTCTATGCTAGTTTAAAAGAAAGCAGGGTACCAACAGATTGGCAATATATATAACATGTTCACTGATTATTTGAAAGATCGTTAATTGGTTTTACCACAACACATGGGCTTTTTTGGGTGGTGGGTTGTTTTGTTTTTTTGTTTGTCTCATTTTGAAAGTCATTTATGAATTAAATTTAAAGTCCGGTGTGTTCTCTGGGTGTATTTTCTTCTCTTATTTCAAATTTCCCCTGGGCTTCTTTCCGCCATCACTACACATACTCCACATGTTTACTCACTGTCTGCTTTCCTGTTGGACTCTATGAACACAGAGACTAAATATCTATCTGCAGCATAACTCAATTTCTCAAGCCTATATCAGAAAACCAGTACATATTTGTTTAATGAGCAATCATATAGTTTCTCCTTGCTGAGGAAGTGTCAGCTCTCAGTAACTACATTTTAAGCCAATTCCAACATCCAAATAACTGTGTTCGTTTTAAACAAAAGCCCACTAATTTAGGCTTTCTCAAAAATGAGTGTAGCCTGTCCCTTTCCGTTTGTGATAACAAATTTCTTAAGTATCAAGGTGATTGTGGTCTCACTTGCCATGTAAAGGTACATGATCCCAACAATGAATGTAACTGTACTGTATCCCTAAATGTACCAATAAACTCAATAAAAAAAAAAAAAAAAAAAAAAAGAAGTTTACACAGTAACTTTAAAGACAAAAAAATTTAGAGCACAGGAACTATGACAACATGTTGCCACCTAGTGGACATTTCGTAAAACGTCTAGCCATCCAGTTTTCTGATACGATGCATGTACTTAGGACGAGTGGAATCTTTGGGATCATCTTATGAAGCTTTTTTGCTCGATGGGGTCACTGTGGCTTTAGACTCGCCAAAAATTAAAACTGTAAAATGAAGACCCAACAGCCCCCTTGGTAGCACATCCTCTAACGTGGAATGGGTCTAAGAAGCCCACTGCTCTCTACCCTTGCCTGAAAAAAGGTAAAAATCATCAGAATTCAAACTTGAGTGAGAACTTTTTAAAGATTAAGATATTGTGATTTGATGGGTAACCCAGAAGCTGTGCATATTTGGCCTGATTCATGCCTGCTGTCTCTGAGAAAACTAGAAACTGTGATAGGGTGGCAGAAAAGAAAGGATGATTCTAAGAACTCATAAATAAAGGAAGTGTCCACAGAATGGGAGATGATATTTCACTTCAGCACCCCCCAACAGTCTGCTCAAATCTTCATCTATAGTATTTATAGTTATTTTGTAATATTCAGCCTATTTGCTGATTTCTTATCTTCTAATGCATCCCCACCACTGCCCTACTTGTACAAAATGCAAAAAGCATTTAAAATTTCCTGGAGAGGACCTGTGGGGATAACACAATGCCATTTATTCTATCTATTCAATCAGTGTTTGTTGGGTGACTAAGAGAAATTTAGGTGTGTCTAAAATTAGCACTCCACTGTACTTGACAACAATAAAAGATTACTCTGTATAAAAATTAAATAACCAAATTAAATCCCCAGATATGCAATTTGACAGTATGCTTCATTTCTGCTTAGCACTTGAAATGAAGAAAAATGTTCTTTGAAAGTTTTTGTAAACTTAACAGCTGTTAATTGCCCATCACTAAAAAGATGAATAATTCAAAAATGATTAGGTCTGTCCTAGTGAGGAATCATTACATTGTGTTTGTAAAAACAATTAGGCCAATAAAATAGAGATGACATTTAAAAGGTGAAGTAAATACATTAATAATTACCATCCTTCTAGAAACGAGAAATCTGAATTTCTGGATATGTTTGATACTTTAAAAAGGAAAATTTAGTTCTGCCATTGAATCCAGAAAGACACTAGTGTTACTAGACAGAGATTCCGGCATTTTTGATGTAGGACATCACTATGTGAAAGTCTAGCAGACATCTCACCCTCCACCTTCCAATCAGACATTCTTCTAAACCCTGTTCCTTTCCGCTCTCAACATGGGGAAGAGAGACTTGTCATAGTTCTCAGCTCCGGAGCCTTAAGTGACCTTGACTCCTCCTCTCTTTTTCTCACACTGCACTCCTATTCATCAATCAACAAATCCCTTTGGCTTTGGTTTTAGTATATACCAAAAACTCTCAGCATATATGAAGTCACTGTATGTCACTGGAAACTCTCCACCATACCCCATCCTCACACGGCAGCCAGCCAGTCCAGTGATGGCCACCTTCTTGCTCAGAAGCCTGCAAGGGCTCCTATTTTATCTCCAAGTACAAAACAAAGTTCTCACAATGGAATTCAAGGCACTAAAGGGTTTTGTACCCACTCATATCTCTTTGATTTTATTTCTGTCTAATCATTGGAGCCCTAAACAGAACCTCCCAAATCCTTTTAGCAGGAAGTACAGCGTCTCCATTCAAGGACTTTTGTATTCTCCTCTTGCCTAAGAAACTCTTGAACTATATCTATCCATAAGAGGTCAGTAATGCTTGCAAACAGTACAGGGAGGACAGGGAAGTCTGCAGAATACAAATCTGACGTCTCCCCCAACACTAATATGTTAGAGGTTGACTATAAGATTTATAGCTGAACACTAGTTCCCATTTCCATGGCTGCAGCAAAGCCCTTTGTATCAGTTATAACATACAACCTCAGAACCACAGTGATGCAAAACAATGAGCATTTTTTGGCTCCTCTGTTTGCAGGGTCAGTTGAGACGGGCTGGGCTCAGCTCTTGGTTAGGTTTGATCACATATTTGGGGTCTTATATATAGTTTACCTTTGGCTGGGATTTAGTAACATTGCAATCAGTTAAGGAAAATAGATTTAATGAATAAATAAATAAGTGCATTCAATGTGCATTTTATAAAGTATTTCTTCATGCCTAGCTCTGTGCTGGAAGCTGAAGAAACAATATAGGCTCAACTGTCACTACACTACAAATTTCCAAGGACCTGAGTAGGAGGTTCCCAAACTGTAATCAAAGAAGGATTTAAAAGACCACAGAGAAGGTGGTAACGCACTTGGCTGAATACAGGCGAGATAAATCAAAACAACCAAAAACTCTTAAGCTTCTATCTAGGCAATCCACTGACAAGCTACATTTATATGCCTTTTATGGTTTGTGTGCGCTATGGAAGCATCCATTATCACCACACTCTCCTCTCCAGTGTCCTCCGATTTCTCTTTCAATAACATCTTCTCATTTAAAACCTGCTCTTATCATGCCATATAAGTTATCTTTGTTCCACAGAGAGTTTGGAAAGGGTAGGGTCATAAAGATGATCGGCTCTAGCATTCAACCACAAAACCAGTGGGTCTGAATGCTGACAAAGTGGAGGCCTGATGGATAGCACGCATGAGCCCACAGTAACCAGGATAAGATTGAGTGGATTTGGAGCTCGATCCAGTGGTACAGACAAGCAGCCCTAGGGAGGAAAAGTACAACTGTTAAGAAGACACAGTCCCTGCCCTGAAAATTAGCCACTGCCCCAATGGGCTTTGGAATTACAGTGCTAATAAGTAGTGTTTAAGATCAAACTAAAACCACCACTTTTCCATGGAGACGTGACATGTTTCTTCAACCTCAGAAACTTTTCGGTGCTGAAATCTTAGAACACTCAGAATCTGCACCATGTAATTGAACAACTAATTGCATTTTTCCTAGTAATGCTTGCTGGTTTTTTTCAGGATGGTTAGTCTTTTACTCCTACCAGATTGCAAACTCACTAAGGCCTAGGAACATAAGCCTGTATAGAATTGAACGAGACCTTCGAGATCACTCTGTACAATCCTTTCATTTCTACTACTGAGGAATTAGAAGACTAACAATTGGTAACTTCTCCAAGTTCATATAGCCATGTCATGTTTAGAAAACTCCTTATAATTCTGTGTTAATCTCCTCTCCATTGATGAGGAAAGGAGGGTAGGTGTAGATTTTCCTGTAACTTTGTTATAATACATTGTTTTTTTCACCTTGAGGCAAATGATTGGTAAAAGACACAGCTCTGTAGTTATTCTCCAGGCTTTTTTTGAGAATGTGGATCAGTTATCTTTGTGTTCTGACCAGCAAGACTTGAATGTAGAAGTTGTAAAACTCTACACACTGATTATCTCTCCCAATACAGAGTGAGGCAGGTACAAATCGATAGCTTTCAACAGCTGATGAAATAAGCTTTGGCTATGAGTTAGAAAGAGCAATTAAAATTTGACCTAGGTGTGACAGATAAAATAAATGGTAGTATTTTAAGAAGTTACATTTGGGTCTAGAGGTGAGAATGGTATTTTTTTTTTTGCAGCAACCCCAAATGAGAGATTTCTTCTTGCATTGGGAGTCTTAAATGGTTTACTAAGTCTTTTCCACCACCAAACAAATGTATTCTTGAGCTGGGAATTCCTGGGCTTTGATAATCATCAGTCATGATAGCAGAAATGTGGAGACTAAAGCAATAGATTTATACTTTTGCCTTTTTCTCCACTATGACCAATATATAGCCCATTTTAATATTTTTCTTTAAGAAAAACAATTTAAATAGTTTGAGAAAAGGAGCTGGATTAGAGAAAATTTTGCAATAGTTCTTTAACCTCATGCCTAGGTAGAAACCATTCTTTAACAGAAATAGTCTTTCCTTGCATGGAACTGAACTGTTCATTCAGTCAGTTTCATCTCCAAAGGAATGAAGAGGTTTTTAATGCTGATTCTTTTCACTTTTTAATATTTTAACAGCTGTATGGAGTTTTAACTTGCCATAAACTGTAAGTATTTAACATATATAATACGATTTGGTAAGATGTGACGCATGAATGCCCATGTGAAACAGCGAAGTTTCCTTGTATCTCTCTGTAATCTCTTCCTACCCATCTTGCCCCATGGTTCCCAGGCTCCCATCAATTTACTTTCCGTCACTAAGACGTTTCACATGTTTTTAAATTTTATATAAATAGAATCATACATTGCATGCTCTTGTGCATGGCCACTTTCACCTAGCATAATCATTTTAAAATCCATTCATTTTCAGCATGTAGTTTATTCTTCTTGGTTCAAAATAGTATAATGCTCCATCTTTATATCCATGCACCTGTGGATGGACATGTGGGTTATTGCCAGTATTTGCATGTGACAACTAAAACAGCAGTGTACCTTCATGGATATTTATATGGAAATTCACTTTAATTTCTCTGGGGTGAATACTTAAGAGTGCAATGGCTGAGTCGTACAGTAGATACAGGTTTCAATTTACACCGAAACTGCCAAGCTATAGTTGCAGAGTAGTTACACCAGTGTGCATTCCCACCAGCAGTTTAGTTCCAATTCCTGCCCATGCTTACCCACACTTTGTGGGTGCTCTCATTGCAGCTGTTCTCATAGGTGCGCACGGGATCTCATTGCACTTCTAATTTGCGTTTCTCTATCAACTAATGATGTTGCACATCTCTTAATAAGCTTATTTGCCATTCGTATATCTTCTTGAGTAAAAATCCGTTTAAATCTTTTTTCCCATTTTAAGTAAATTGTTCTCTTCTAATTAAGTTTTGAAAGTTCTTTATATATTTTGGATACAAGTCCTTTATGAAATACACTATTTGATATGAAATATTTTCTCATAGTCTGGAGGTTGATTTTCATTCTCTGCAAAGTGTCTTTCCAAGAGAAAGAGTTTCAAAGTTTTGATGAAATCCAGTTTATCAATTTCTGCCTTTATGGATCATGTTGATCTTATGTATTAAATATTCTAGGTTTTCTCCTATCACTTTCCCCTTTCTCTAGAAGTTTCTTATCTTCAGGCCTGTGAGCCATTTATAATTAAATTTGGTATATGGTATAGATACAGATCAGTTTATTTTTGCTTATGGGCAGACAATTTTCCAGCATCATTTATTAAAAAGGCTATCTTTAATGAATGAATTGCTTTTTCATTTTTATTGGAAATCATATATGTCAGTTTCTGGCTCTCTATTTCAATCAAAGGTTAGATCAGTGCATCTACACACAGCATCACCCTTGTTGATTACTGATGCTTCATAATACCTTGAAATTGGATGGTATTGGTCCTCAAATTTTGTTCTTCTTTATCAAAATTGCTTTGAGTACTCTAGATACTGTATATTTCTGTACAGATTTCCGATTCATCTTTTCAGTTCTTATTACAAAACCTTTTGAGACTTTTGTTGAGATTGTATTAAATCTACAGATGAAATTGAGAGAGATTGACTTCTTAAAATTATTATCTTCCTATCAATGAACATAATACCTTTTCTATTTATTTGAATCTTAATTTCTCATAGTAATTTTCAGCAATGCTTTGATTTCAATTTCTGATTATTCATTAATAGTGTTTCATAATGTAGATAACTTTCATACTGAAATCTTATCCTGCCGCCTTATAAAACTCACAAAATACATGAGCTGTAGTGTCTACTACTTTGTAAATTTCACAGTAATTTCTAATAAATGATTGTGTTGTCTCCAAATGAGGGCATTTTTGTTTATTTCTTTCAAAACTGTACATCTTTTATTTCACTTCTTCTTCTAATATGCTGGCTAGAACCTTTAGTGGCATGTAGAATTCAAGTGGACATCCTTGCTTTTTCATGATCTTAGGTAGAAAGCATCTAGTGAAATCTTTTTTCATTAAATACAAAGTCAGCGTTGGCATTTCACAGGTGCCCATTATCAGTCTGAGAAAGTTTGCTTCTACTCAAGGACCTATGAATCATGAATCTTTTTCAGTCTGACGAAGGGAAAACAGACACAATTCCTGACTGTGTGTTCTCAGGGCCACATCTTATGAAAAATCTATAGTTCATTACTGGGTTAATGAAGTTTTCTTATACTCTTAGGTTATTGAGAGTTTTTTGTTTTGTTTTGTTTTGAGACAGGGTCTCACTATGTAGTTGAGAAGTTGAGATTGAGATTGATCTGGAACTCACTATATAGTCCAGGCTGGTCTCGAACTCACAGTGATCCTCCTGCCTCAGCCTCCCAAGTGCTGGGATTATAGGCATGCACCACCACGCCCAGCTGAGAGTTCTTCTTATGCAAGAAGAACAGCTGATGCTTTTTCTTTCTCTTGACGTTGTCTTGCAGTTTTTCTTGTTTAGTGTGATCGTGTAGTAGATTACACTGGTTTTTATTCTTTGTATAAAATGAATTTGATGCCATCGTAGGAACAGGGTTGGACGCACTTTCAGGTTTAGCGGGCAACAATGGCGGCACTGGTGAGTGATGTGTGGCTGAGGTATAGGAAGAAGGTGGTTGGCTCGGATGCCACGAAGTTGTCATTTTGTCCATTGGTGGTGATGTATTCACCACAGTAAGTGATGAGTGGTGTGTTACCCTCCACCTTACAGCCAGGTGTGGGTTCTTCTGCTCATGACACTATTGCAAGGGTGGAGGCAATCTATGAGAGCATCTTCATCTAAGTTCCACGTGTGAGTCTAAATTTCATTTTGATTTTATACTTTTTTTTAAGTGTACTTTTTTATCAGTGAAAACAAAAAGAATCTGACTCTGATACCAGACATCAGGCCCATGACTATACTGAAGTTCAGAGGTCCTGATTCTTCTGGATAAACTTACCCTTTGTATTTCTATTTTGGGTGTGAAATTGATCTGGAGAAATGTGTTTCCTTTAGAAGTTGCAGGATGTTAACACAATATTGTTAATGGACATTATTTGTACCTGTGCCTCTCCTTTTACTCTAACCCACCTGCTATTCTTTATGTCTCCCACAAAGAAGCCACTGAATGGTGAGGGATGTGCCCATGGTATATTATTAAAATTCAGAATGAATTTCTCCATGTATCTGTAGTCTGGGTGGCATTAGAATATTACTTTAAGTGCTTTATACTGATGCATTACAGTTTACATTTTAAAAATTCTGTTTTTCTTGGAATCTACTATTTCCCACTATTATTTCTCTTGGAGAAATCTATAATGTACTTTGAATGACTAAATGATAAAGGGATTTCTAGAATGTAACCCATTTGTAAGTTGGAGATAGTCTGAATCTTGTATTGATATACAATGTTAATACATAGGTGTCTTACAGTATGTATTTAACAATATGTGGAAGCATTTGAAATGGCCATAAAAAAGATGCAGTTTCTTGTGCAGCAAAATGAAACTTGTAGGGAAAAAAACCTGCAGACTGCTACTGAACTGTCTGAGACAGCTAAAGTTGAAATTGATTCTGGCAAGGCCATTATGGGGGTAATTGTCCAAGAGAATGTTTTCTTACACAGGAAATTAGAGACAGGGAAAACATTATTAAAAGTAAAATTTTGTAGATTTTGAGTCTGCCAGAATGTGTAGCAGCTATTGCATCCCCTTACGGGATTAACGCCTAAATTGAATTTTAGTTAGATTTAAGCTGAATTTCAAGCTGAAGAACCTTCAAGGAGGGAGAAAAAAGGCAGAGAGATTCAAGATGTTGTTTGATACTGTGAAAGCCACCCCCCCTTACATTTTTTAAGAGTTACACAAAAAGGTAAAGCAAGGGGTTTTATTGCTTATATTAAATGAAAGATCAAAATGTTTTGATTGGTGCTTTTGAAAAATCTGGTCATGGTTCTGCACCAAAACTCACCATATGTATGTGAATCCAGAAGTTAGATATGACAAGATATGAAAAATATCTGTCACGAAATCTCTTGATTAAACTCTTTAGCAAAATGCAGAATTGATTCACTAATTAGGGAATATGAGAGTCGGTGTTGGTGTCTGTGTTTGCTGTGTATGTCCTACTATAAAGTGTGTGTGATTTGAGGGGAAGAAAGTGCCAGGATTAAAAAGTTTAATTTGACAAAAGAGTTCTCAAATACCTGAATTACAGAGATTGTTCATTTTAATAATTTTAATGTTATCGATTATGTCAGTAGTCCTTCAGATTTTCTTTTTAAAATGTGGCCGTATTGACACAGCAGCTTCTACCTCTCTGCATTAATTTAAGGGAATAGTGATTGTACTTTGTCATGTAGCTAGACATTTTTGGACCAGACAGGATCTACATTCATTAACAGCTCATTTATTTACCATTACAAATTTTGCATAAGTGAACTTTCCAGATAAGTAAAATTAAATCCATGAAATTCTCATTTAAACCATTTTCATGGAAAAGGCTCAAATTTCCTCATTTCTTTAGAAAGACTGCAAAATTCAAGATAATTGGGAGGAGGAAATCCTGATGTCTTGAGGACAGGAATTAGAATATAATGGACAGGCTAAGTGATGCACAATAAAATTATACTTTTGCATAACATTTAAAGATAAAAATGGTCACTCTATAAAATTAAATGGCAAAAGCGGGGTATAAAGCTGTTTTTGTATAACCTCAATAATTACATGTAGTGTATCGCAGAAAAAATATGAACCACATTAAATTAGGAACAAGAGTTCTTTCATATGAGGAATTAAAATGTTTATTTAAAATTTTTTTCTCAAATCTTTTTTTAATTTTCCAGATTTTTTACAATATACTTTTTAATATAATTAGGTTTTTTTTCCAAAGCTTGTTAGACTTTAAAATTATGTGATAGATTTCCTGTTTATCTCTTATTACACAGTGCCTGGTACATATCAAGCAATGAATAAATGTTTTTGTATGAATAATATATGATCAGAGAACATTCATTCATTTATTCATTTTTGCATAAAACATTCCCTCAAAAATTCCAAAAGCATTTCCATAAACATGCTGTCTGTGAACTGTTTCACTTAAGAGAAAACTTTCTTATAGATTTCTTGTATAGACTA